GATATTCTCTGTCTGTGAGGTGCAGTATTGAAGTTGAAAGATTTTAATGAGTTTCTGCATGAAAAACTGTGTGGTTTATCGTTACTTCAACTTTGTCCAAAAATATTCAAATAAAGTGCTTATAGATTACATGTGTGCTATTTTTGTTTCACTAATTAAATTTGGACTGACTGTATGTAACACATTATTTTGGATTGTTTTGAAAAGATTTTACAGAATGAACATCTTTATTGAAATTATCAGCAAGTCTTTTGATTATTTATGCACATATCAAAGAGATATGGGAACCACAGTGATTCAGTGAGGAAGGTGCTGACTCACTAACCAAGATGTACAGGGTTCAATCCTAAGGTTGGCCGAAAAAGTTATCCGGGATTTTCCAGGATGGAGGGCCCTGGCAAGGAACAGTGTCTAGTTGCTTGGATGGGACAAAAAGTGAGGTGTAATGTACCTGTTGGCAGGCATGTAAAGAACCCGAGACTGTTGAAATATAAATTGTTGTCCGGACAAAATTTCCCTCCTAGCATACTATATGACATATGCCTGTCTTTATTAGCCCAGTTGGTGTAGAAAAATAATACTTTATACCCCACTTCATTCATTCAAAGAGAGGGGATCACGTGGCTAAGTGGGTAAGACGCTAGCTCGCTAGCCGGGAGGTCGGGTGTTCGATCCCTGCATTGGCCGAGAAAGTTCATCCAGATTTCCCGGCGTGGTTCTCCCTTGTCAGTGATGCAGGACGGAGGGGCTGACAAGGAAAGCTGTCTAGTCGTTCGGATGGGACGAAAAAACCGAGGTCCCGTGTACACATTGGCGTGCACGTAAAAGATCCCTTGGCAGTTGGAATTCGATATAAGAGTAGGCCGCAGTGCCGCTGTCCGGGCAAAATTTCCCTCATAGCACACTGTATGGCGTATGCCCGTCTTCATTAGCCCAGGTTAGGAGCAGAACAGTAGGACGTTAAACCCCATTTCATTTCATTTCATTCAAAGAGAGACTTCCATCTCCATAATTAGCAGATTACATGCAGTGTACTATTTGAAGCTTTGTGCAATGCCAAACACATATTTGACCATTTTAATTTAAGTTTGGGTATCTTTATTTTAGTTACTACCACCTTACTACAAATTAAAAATTGTGGTTACTCCCACATTATAGCAAATTAAAGATTGTTGTTAGTGGCCTCTCACCTTCCAGAAATTTAAACTTTCATTCTACTCACCGCCTTATAACTTATAGCAATTTAAACATTTTCCGGGAGCCATGCCTACATGTACTTCCTCCTTATTGCAATTTAAACTAATATCTTTCTTAGTGCAGTCAGAGTAGGATGTTAAACCCCATTTCATTTCATTTACTCCCATCTCCCACCTTATCTTCAGTTTAAACATTGTCTGGTTACTATGATGACTACTTCTACCTTATAGCAAGTTAAACAATAGTATAAAATTTTGGCTACTCTCACCTTAAACATTATCTGGATACCATTGCTTTCCCACAGCAGTGCGGAAAAAAAAACTGTCATGTTTTTCCTGACTAAAACATGTACATGTTGATGTAAATTTTGATTTATTATAGAATAAATGTTATAAAATCTGATATAATAACTGAATAATTTCCTCAATAGAAGGAAAAAACCTCAAGTTTCATTGGTTTATAGTTTGTTTGAGACTAACACAACAAGAATTACAGTTCCTGGTTATGTCACTTGAAATTTATGTACAAAACAAGTGCATGCTTTTCTACATGTAGTGTACATATCAACTTGGCACGATTTTATACCCTAGACTGAAGTGTTAGTTGGGTTGAATTTTTGCCAGAATATAAATGTTAGGCCCCCTCTAATGAACCATCTTGTTTAGATCTGTAGTTCTAGATTAGATTGAGGTTTACATGTAAAAGTCTATAACAGTGTCAAATTTGTGGGAGATTGGAAGCTGTGCAGCCGCTGCAGGTTTAGATGTTGTTAATTTGGTAAATATCTTGAAATGTTATTTCTTATTTATAGAGTATGTATAGTTAATATTATCATGTTTATGAATATATTTGTAAGATTGAACTTGGTTATGTTATCTGTATGTGTGAGAAGTTCCTTGTTTGCTAATTTGGAATAAGTAGGATGTACGTATGTATGCACTAAAAGTCTGATAAAGCAATATTATCTTTGAATATTTGTAAGATTGAACATGTCAATGTTATTTTAATCATGATCTATATAAATGGGAAGTTTCTATTGTCAAGATTGAGAAAATTATTGTGTGTCTGATAAATACATAACAAATACAGAACAACTGACAAAAACATGAAGAGAGACCTTAAAAGATTCACCCACTTTTAAAAATGTGTGCACACTGTAACAAAGTAAATTCAAAGGCTATCGCACAGAATTCCTGCTGGCTCAGTTCACCCCCCAATGTAAACTCCCCATTCGCTGTTCTTAATAATCTAGCATACCATATGCATAATGAAAAAGCAACTGAACTAATTTACTCCATTTAAATTTTCAATTTCTTTAAAAATTGAGTGAATAATCTAAATTTAGAAAAACAACAAGAAAATCGGCACAGTCGATTGTGTCATCCCTTTAAACTAGACTAGAAATTATTTTTTTCTGTAATACAATGTATGTACTCAGATTGATTATTTAACATTCATTTAATAAGGAAACAAAATCAAAATACCAACCCTAGCAAATTTTTAGACTCAGATATTAAACAGGCCCATCAATTTGGTTCATAGCAAATAAATATGGTGGTTGTCTTGTTAGATAGGGTGCAGCATAGGTCGATGGGATTTTCAATTCTTCATACCTTTTTAAATACAGAACGGATTTGAACCATGTTGGGACTGATATTCCCGTTAGAGATTCAACTTTCACTATATTGTAATTTTCAAGTTATTCTGGAGGTCTAAAGTCATGCATAGAAAACAAAATTAAAATATCAACAGCAATCTTCTGGCTTGATTTCAGTCAGATTACATAGAGGTCTAACAAAATTTATAGGTGACTAGTTTTGATCACATGCTACATGTACATGTATATCATCTACAGTGAATGCTGAATGTAGACACATTTTGAAAATACTAAACTGAATTGAACCATTTTGGACTGTACAGTTTGTAACTTGTAAGGTGTTTAATATCCTCCAAATGACAATCAGAGACTTATAAAAAATACCCAGGTTTGTAATTAATTATAGTATTTACGGTTTAGACATCCAGTAATATATTAATTTTGTTGACTTCATTTATTACAAACATGAATTTTCCATGGTTTATGTCACAGGTGGTGGCATGACACGGACAGTGATACAAATATTTATTTCAAGTTTGTAACATCCTAGACTGACATCATTGTTCATTTTTATGTTTTATAATAAAAATCATTGAAGTGGTTAAATACATGTACCTACTCTGGATCTAGTAATAGTATTTATTGTAAACAAGTCTATTGTGTGACCTTGTCAAAAGGTTTAAAGGGGAATTCCAATCTTGTCATAGGTCACAGGTGTACAGGTAGTAGGCTAGCTGTTACACACTTACAACCATACTTGCTTTGTAAGAATATGTACATAATATGTTGGCATATAATGCACAAAACAATGGACTAATTGAATTATCATTAGTGTTGGATAAAAGTTTATACATATTTCTAGCTAAGATTAAGAAACTGAGAAGTGATATTGCTGTCACCTCTCTGTTTAGCGGCATTAGCCTACATAATTTGCAGATACAGGCCTAATAATATATAACTTTTAAAAACTTATTATAATATAATATTAATCAAAATAATACCCTATTTTCACCTATGGTTCTGCTCTATATAAAAACAGTGGAATCTCACCAATATGCCTCTTTAATATTTATGTAGCATTCATGTATCATAATAAAAGTAAGTATGTGAATTATGTGATACTTCAATTAGATAAACATGACTGGACTGTGATAAGAGAGGAAGATTTGTTAGTTTAAAATATAGTTTTCCTATTCATCTTGTCAGTCTATTTAAATGTGATTTTTTTATATGATATATTTAGATTTAAAATAAATTCATGAGTCAACTGGAATCCCATTCATATTAACTAATTCAGGAATTTTTTGATATTAGAAATGACGTACATATATGTACAGATGATCATTACGAGTTTACTTATCTTGTTTCAAGAGTCACCATATTAGCTCAGTTGTGAGTGTGGTGCATGCTCAGTTGTGAGTGTGGTGCATGCTCAGTGGTGAGTGTGGTGTAAGCTCACTAACCAGGAGATCCCGGGGTTCATCCCAGTGGTGGCTAAGGAAGTTTTTCAGGAATTTCTATGGAACAGAAAAATTTAGTCTGTCCCTTTACTCGTCTGTGTGCAAGTAAAAGATCTATTGTCAGTTGGAATTCAATAAAGATTAGGAAGAAATACCGCGATTTGGGGATAAAATTTGTTTCATAGTACTCTGCATGGTCCTGTCTTTATTAATCTGGTTGATGCAGAAAGGTGTTCAATCCCATTTTAATGGATAAGCTTATTGATGTAAAATCTAGTAAAATGTGAAATATTAGTACAATTTTGTTATGGGCAAAAGTTTAAGCCAAAGAAAAAATGTATGTAGCAAAGTTTGGTTTCTTCCCAAGACTAAAATTAGATCTTGTCTGTCATCAAAACACCTGAATAAAATAGAAAAACAAAATGAGCAATTATAAAATCGGTCAATAAGATTGAGAAGGGAAGTTCATCAGATTTTGAAGAGATTTTAATTACTATCTGGTCTCGAAATAATGATTTTAGTGACACCTGAAGTTGAACCTGACATTGTTAACTTTGTGTTGGACATCTACATGTATTGAAAATATCATAAAAATAGACAAATCTGTGCTGAACAAAATGACAGGTACCAAAGGAATAGTTTCTGACAAAGCCTGACATTGTCAGTGACAGGTGTATTATTTGCAGGCTTGATTATAATATCTCAAAAATCTCATTCTCATGTATGTTTTATTGTGTGTTTTTCAGATGCACTATTAGCTGATTTACAATCAACAACAGCTCATTTATCACAACCTCAACAAAGTCAACCAGTCACTGTTATAAACTCTAGAGCTAGCTCATCTTCACAAGATTCACGTGGTTCTACACCACCTCTTCCACCACCTCCATCACATGAAGTTCTAGATTCTCTCCCATCTAGATCAAATGAGGTAAGATTCTTTCTTTAGGTTTAGATGTGTTAATGATAATTTCTCTAGTGCTAAATTGGAAAATTTTTTTGTCTTCAAAGAATCTTGAAGAAAAAAATCAGTGTATGTAGATACTGATTGATTGGTAGATATTGACAACCACAGTTTCTTGAAGAGAACGTCCAAACATAGTCACAAACTGCTGTTCTGTAGACAATCTCATACCGCCTGAAATATGTAAACAGCTTTCCAAATTATAGGACCATTTACTAGTTTACTGGGTGACACAGCTAGGCCCATGATAGGGTGGTTTGTGGTGGTTTAAGTGCTAATATTCAGATCACTGGCATCTTTCACCATCCTTAGTTGTATTTGCCATTTCTTGACTACAATGGTAAATATTAAGGGGATAATCTTGGTACACAATAAAACTGTAGATATTAACCAGCACAAATACCTAACCTGACCTCAAAACAGTTTTAATATAATCAATTTTAGGTTACAACTACATGGATAATAGTAGGCTTAGAGACATAAATGTAACAGTACTTACAAATGTAATATAAACAGGAAATAACTGTTATATATCCCGGTGTGACTGAACATATACAATATAAACCAGCTTCACTTATAAATTTATATTAAAGTTTATAAGCTTGACCTTAGATTAGATTTAACTTATTGTAACTTCAAAATTCAATTGAATGTGTAGCCTTGGAAATAAAAAAATTTCACGGACAAACGTCCATCACTCGGACATTTATTAACGATATCAATATAGAAAAAAAAAATTGACATCTGTGCCAATGAAATGACAGGCGCCAAAGGGATTTTTGACCAATTCCAAATATTTGCCTGAAACTACCTGTCCAAGACTTGTCAAAGAGATATCGTTACTGTGACTTTAAAGATTGATGGATAGAGTATGTACAGTCCTTATTAATATTATTGATACTTCATTTTGTTTTATTTTCGTTCTGTTTTCGTTCACTTTATCTTAACCTTTTGTGCAATGGGAAATTTACACCCCAGATCAAGTCAAATTTTTCCGTTGGTTGGTTTTGTACTAGTGACAGAAGGCTAGCCTCCAACGAGTCGTTGCTAAGGGTAATAGTCTCTTTTTACTGGCTTAAATAGTGAGGTCAGGTCAATAAGAGATGTTGATTATTATAGAACTTTCCATAGAGAGCCGATCAAATTAATACAGTATCATGAGATAGATATTTCCATTGACTGGATGGCTAGTCTAATTGATTGATATCGGTAATATTGATTAGGTTACTTTTCGAGTGCAAAATTAAGACAAATATTAAAATCCATGTCTTAAATACAAACATTTTCGAGATGTTCAGATTTCAAAGAGCTCATTTAGCAGATTCAGCTGCCATTTTTATAGACTGTCTCTGCGTGAAGTCCCATTTTTATTGTGTTCTCTTTATTATTTTTTCCCCAGCCAATCTATGAAGCACAGAATTTTCATGTTAATAAAGGAGGTATAAATCATCAACAACAACAACGAGAACCAGAGATGTCAGGAGAATTAAGTAGTAACCTTTCCGAATTAGACCAACTGTTACAAGATTTAAACTCAGCTCAATTCATGAATGAAGTTGACAAGAAAAATGCAGGTAAATTGTTTTTCTAAACCTTCATTTATTTGACTCGTACTGGACATACATGTAGAACTATCATATGCTCTAGCATCTGGAATGAAATTTTACAGATACTCAAATTTAAATTTTGTTATTTCCCTTTAGAAATATTTTGTTAATCAAGCCAGGAACCACGGTGGTTCAGTGAGTAAGACGGTGGCTCGCAAACCTGGAAGTCATAAAGATAGACACACGCCAAATTTAAGAAATCAAGATCTGTTTGTTGTGTTTTATGAGTGCTCGCTGAAAAGTTCTAAGTCTGAAAAGGACAGATCAATTGGGTTGAAACAAACTTTTGCCACAAACAAGTACTGTAACTGTAGTGTTATTATTGTATTCATACCAGATCATTTTGTGAACATACCCATTGAAATCACCAGAAATGGACAAAACTGGCTTTAGTCCAGTCAGCAAGTACCTGCAACTGAAAGGACTAAGCCCAACCCAAAAACATGCCTTGATGGTTTCCACTTTAGAGGATGACACCCCTCCCTTTTCAACAGTAAAGAAGTGGTCTGCAGAACTTAAGCGTGACAGAGAGAGCCTTGACGATGACCCGAGTCCTGGAAGGCCATCAACAGCAACCATTAAAGAAAACCTTACCAGGGTGCATGACATGGTGATGGCTGGTCAACGATTGACCACTAGACATATTGCCAGTGTTGTGGTCATCTGTCATGAGAGGGTTGAGCACATTCTCGCCAACGAGTTGGGAATGGCAAAAGTTTCTTCAAGATGGATGCCAAAGCTCTTGACTGTAAATCAGAAATGTGTCAGATTCCTGACGTCCTGTAACAATCTGCGTCGTTTTGAAGCAGATCCTGGTATGTTTTGGCCTGAATTGTAACCATGGATGAGATCTACATGTATTTCCAAGAATAAAATATGAACTAGCCAGTCGTCATTTTCCTAGTAATGATGACGTCATGTCAGCTGTGAACCACTTTATTAGGGTGTACGTATGTAGAAATATAAATACAAACCATGTAACAAAGTTAATGGGAATATATTGTCTTTTCATTCTGAAAATAAAGTTAGCATTAACTTAGCATGTGATTAAATGAGTATTGATACCAATCTAAGCACGAGTATGTGAGGCGTTGATACTTAAAGTTTTCAAGTGAACAGGAAATAAAAGAATAAAACTGTAAGAAGTACTGCCATCAAACGCTAATTGACATGTTCAAATTGGTCTTTTATCAATTGGCTTTCCATTATTCCATTAATGAGGACAACAGTAGAATAAATTGTTAATGAGCGTGCTATAATTAATATTTTGTTAGATCTTGACAAACCCTAAGTGATAGGTCATATAACTTCTAAGATTTAAGTTGACTCATATTTCTCCCTGTATTAAGAGTACAAATAATGCATAAACATATTATATAGTTAAATGAATAATTAGATCCGAGAATTTAAGATGTAAGCTCTAATAAAGGAGCATATTTTAGATAACATACATCTACATGTTTAAAGTCCTGATCTACCATTTTTAGTGCATAGTAATCACTTGCAAACTGGGGGTTGGATGGCCGAATGGTTAGCGTGTGCGTGTTGAATCAACTGGCGTGGTTTTGCTTCCCCGGTTGTATGTGACAAGGAGTAGGGTTGCTTGCCCAAACTCCAACCTCGTGGGTTTTCTCAGGGTCCTCCAGTTTTCTCCCACAGCTGAAAACCCCTACACGCCATCTAATTATTGAAATAAAATTGAACCATATGTTAGTCCTGAAATGACCCAGTTTGTATCACTGGAGGTTAAACCACTCTCTCTCTCTCTCCTCTCTCTCTCTCTCTCTCTCTTTAAGCCTAAAAATTGGATATTTTAACGAAAGATGCAAATGGTGCATCATTACTCTAAAGGCGGTTATGGTTAGTTTATTGTGCATTCCTTAGGGTTTACCTACTGGCTGATACCAAGTTTATTAAAATGAATTAGTGAAAGTTCTGTCAATTTGGTTTAAAAATTTGCGTAAAATGAAACATCAATTTTTTTTAGTCAGTAACCTCCAGACTAGTACACAGGAAAGAAATCAAGAATTTTTGCATGTTTTTAATAATTTTCACTATTTTGTAGTTAATAGTCCAGTGGTAAATGGAATGAACAGAGGTCCCCCTAATGTAGCTCCCAAACCTGTCCGTGCTAATGAGCGTGCTACTGTAGAAAGTTTACTGAATGAATTAGATAGTTCGGTACCCCACCAATCACCACATAGGTAAGTGTTTATTTACACGTTTCCCAGTAGATATACCTTTCGTGTTTTTCAATAACGCCCTCTTGAAAATAAACACCTTGTAATGAAAACATAGATAGTTTTCAAATGACTGAATAAAATATAATAAGATGATCTGTATAACAAGCATTATGGGCTGGGGGTGGTTGGGTGGCCTATAATGTGCACCCTTCAGATCATAAGGTCTATCATTTAGTCAAGTGCCATGGTTTTGATCCCAAGCTTGTCCGTGACGAGGAGTAGGGTCACCAGTACAACTTTGTGGAGAGTCTGTGACCCTTCAATTCCTCCCCCCTGCTAAAGCACATATTGAAATAAAATTGTACATGTATGTCAACTCTGAAATGAGCTATTGGGTAGTTTGTTTTAACCTAGTGTAAATTGTTCTAGCTACAGATTGTGAGAACGATCAACGATTCTTGCACAAGAATGATTTTATGATAAAGATTTTGTTAGGTCATTAAAAAAGTACCCAGGTCATTTTTTAAGAACAGATGAAGAAGCCATTACATCTTCATTATGTGTTGTAATGACTTTGACATAACACTGATGTATTTACCTGATTCTTGTTATTGTATGTGTGTGCATGGCTGTTCATGCATGTTAACATCTGGCATTATTCTGCAGAGCTTTTCTTGTAATTTGATCAAAGAAAATGTACTTTTCATAGCTAACATAAGAAAAAATATAAGTCATTGATTTCATTTCAATGCACTGCTTGCACCAAAATGCAGTCAAAATAGGAAAAAAAATGGGTACTAGTTATCTTTCAGTCAGAAGTAGAAATACCCTGAGAATGCTCAATTATCACTACCCAGACTTACTTCGCTTTTGATGTAATATGTTCCTCCCCTATCAGCAAGATAATTTTTTTAAAAATACAGCAGTATTTAAACATTATCCAATTAGACATTTATATTTCATTAATTATAAGGTTTTTTTATGACTGAAATACAAGCCTGGGTCGATACACTTATTGAAATATTCATTTCTTGTATTCCAATGTGTCACCTGTTGAACAAATCAACGGAACAATCTTCCATAGAGTATGGTAATTTAGCGATATAAAAATTCAGTCATTCCTTTTATATACTTTAATATTTTATTGGAATACTTCTCACCCTCTTCATCCACAACATTCTCATTTTCCATTGTCCTAGTTACAAGTTCTATTTAAAACATTTCAATTCATGTACATGGAAGATAGCAAGATTTAAACTTCACATAGTATTATAAATACATGTATTCTTATTTAGGTTCCATTGCAAAATTTCAACACTTGTGTCCAAGCTAACAATTCACGTAACTGGATGGGTAGGTAGAGACACCGCAGATAGAAAATGATAAATTAAATTTTAAATGTTGAACCATGAACTGAAATATATCAACAATTTCTTATTCCATCAGGGTGGATGGGCAAGTGGGTGGTTGGGTCAAGATCTATACGCGAGTTATTTATTTGGAGTTTGGATGTTAAAATTTTGCTACAGTGCTTTTAGAATATACCATTTTTCTTTAATAGTGAAAGAACATCACTTGAATTACCTATAGTTTAGAACAGAGCTAATAAATCAAACTCAGTGATAAAAATGAGTTATAAGCATAAATAGTAATTGGGTATTTGGATTTTTTGACACTTAAATGATAGAAACAGTTTCTTTTAGAATCTAACAAACTTCTCTTTTCTCAATTCTAACCAAAAAATATACCTCAAGATAATCAGTTGTCATAGCAACCATTTCAAAGATACAGCTGACTCATCTAATCTAGGGTTTTAATTTCAGATGAAAAAAATAAGTTAACTTCAAGAGTGATAAAAATATTCTGACAATTTTGGTTTTGTCTCTTAAATTATGTGAGATGATGATGGGAGGTGTTTAATTAGGCATCAAGCTTAGATTACCCATAATGTTTACTGGAATGCAGGCACTCTATAAGTTCATTATAATTATTGCCAGGACAGTTCAATGACTTTTGATTTTCCCCAAATTCCAATTTTGAATGACCTGATATTTGACAAATTATTTGCTTTTTTACTTTTTTGATAATTTGTTATTTTTTTTAAAGCTACATTCCCAGAAAAGTATTTATTATTTATCGGGTGGTTATTTCCAATAAAAGTATGGCAATTTTGGTATATATGGAAAGTAGAAATATCCAATCTTACTAGAAAAAAACTATATTCCCTGAAAAACACTCATGGAGCGCATACAGGACAAAAATGTATGGGTTTTCCTAATCGACAGCCCGACAATTAGGAGTGTCTGCACGCGTGACGTCAAAGGTTGCATGCGGAGATGGAGCACTTGAGGTACATGTTGATAAACTTTATGAAGAGTTAGACGTAGAACACTTTCTGAGATTAAAATCAAGGAAAAAGACGCGGGCAGTGGGTAGTCTGAGAATTTAATTAGGCTTCGATATTTGTAATAAATAGTCAGCGATTAAGGCAACATCATCTTTTGTATGCAATGAATTCTCCTCCAACTTCGCACCCGTTGTGTCACGTGACAAAAACACAACCTCTTTTGATCAATTTTTTTTATAACCGGGCATTCCCTGACAAATGCAATGTTTTGAGAAGGATTTGAAGCAAAATTATGATAAATTAATTAGTTTGAATATGTTTTTTTAGTCCAAATATATCATCAAATCACCCAGTTTGTACCCGGGAATGTATCTTTAATGGACAGATAAAAATAACCATTTATATTTATTTTGTTTCATTAAGCTGATAATGGCTATGCTGGTGTAAAAACAATCGTCTACCATCATGCTATTTCAATCGACCTACCATTATAATTAAATCTTATTGTGGCTAGATTCCATTTTATTTATTTTATTGAATGTTGAAAATGGAATTTTTGATAAAAATTTATCCAAAAACCCAATGATTAGTGCTCAAAATATATTCAAATGAAGAACAAAATCAACAAACCTTTTGTTTTATTTCTTACAATGAATTAGATGTGTATGAATCAAAGGATTTCTAAAGCAAGGGAGTGGTTTTTGTGGAACAATATTTGACTGAATTGTCCTGCCAATCATTGGTATGTCTTTTGTGTAAGCTGTTAGCTATGTGTTAGATCCAACAGTTCCATCATAGAAATTGAAGAGCTTTTGTCTTGATTCTCTGAATACCTCCCACTAGTATTTGAATTTAGTAAAAATTACAAGTAGTGGTCTATTATGCTAGTCCCAAAATGACCTACTGGTGTTGAGTGGATGTTAAACCCAAGTATTTCTTAAACATTCCTATATACGTAGTTCATTGAAAACAAAGTTTTGATGTTTATTTTTTTAGAAGGAAAGACATAATTAAGTCCCAAAATGACCGACTGATTTTGAGTGGAAGTTAAACATAAGTTTCTCTCATATTTCTTAAACATTGAATTTCATGTACCAGTATACATGAACTGCATGTAGCTCATCTAAAAGAAAGTTTGGATGTTTATTTTGAGAAGGAAAGACACCTGTGTTTTGAGGGGACATGTAGTTGTTGAACTAGTAAACATTATGTAGAGTAATGATGTTTAAGTGTGAAGCTTATAGTTAATAGTAAACCAAATAGGGTGATTGTATGTTGTCATGTTAACTATAGATAGAGTATTTAGTATGACTCATACTATAACATCCGTACAACATCTTTACTCTATCTAGTCCTTCAACTGATGGGTTATTTATAGATAGATATACACTCTACTTCTACAGTACTACCTATATATATGTATATACACACTAAAACACAGTAAATAAACAAATGTGGCACATTTTTTTAATGCATTTTATATGTATATGTTAATTCAGTTGTTTTGAAACTGTCACCACATCTGTCTATGTTTATGTGTGTATTAGATGTAGGATTGTAAATTCTGTGGTTAACTTGTAGTATTTTCTTCTGTTATGTAATTACAAAGTAGTTTTTTGTCTACATGTTCAGAATCTATTTATATAGATCACTCTCATCAAAAAAAATAAATGTAAACGCCTTGAAAACCACAAAATTTGGACCATTATAAAATTGAATTCCATTGAAAAACCAATCCAACATAAACATGATACAATGGCCTGAATTGAATTGTTGGAGTGACATGGTGATTAGTCTGATCCTGGGTGTCATTGTGCCATTTTATATGGTTTGACTGCCGATCTGATCCCAAAGCCAGTGTCGAAACCAGACCATAAACAGGGGTGTAGCTATCAGGTGTGATGCTGCAAATTCAATCCGAATACTGGGCCTTTTGGCGGTGTTGGGTATGATGTGGGCTTCCACGACCTTAGGGTCGGTTATTTGGCCGATATGTCCCCTGGCTGGTGGATTGATCTGTAACCACTGTTGCAAAAAATATCCTCAGTACACACACACAACATTGCAATATGTTGATTTTCGCGTAAGTGTTTCTCTCAGTTTCTGGATCTTTTTCAACATGATCTTGAGTTCCCGTAGACGCCAAATTGACACTAGAGACGTTGTATTTGTCAAAATGTTCCTAGCTACATTGTACCATTCTTTAAAATATGGATTTATAGCTGATTACAATGAATATAAATTAATTTAGTTAAAGTTATCCAAATGAATAGTTTGATTACACTTCCAATTCTGTTTTACCCTACTTTTACATTGGCTATACAGAGAAATTTGTTAGTCATTTTATGTAAGTGATTTCCTAGGAATTTGTACTGGTATAAGAATGTAGGGGAAGGTGAGAACATATAAACAATGGTTTAGATAATGTCAACACTAGGAATTGGAATCTGTCCTTTAAATCTGTGCCAAAACAACAACTGTGGTGCATGGTAAACTGCTATTTATATCTCGATCAAACATTTGCTATTTTGTTGTTTACAATACATGTATTTTTCTCTGCTTGTTAATAGTAAGTGCAGGAGGACCTCACTACATATAAACAGTTATATAAGACAAACCTACAGGGCTATAGTGATACAGGCTTCATTCAATAAATAAACAAACTAACAATAAGGAAAGACATCCAGGAATATTTTCCATGCATTGTATCATACTGGTTTGATTTATGATCGACTATGTGCTACAAGAAAATCATAAATTTTCTCAAGGATGACATGAATATAGCCTTTAGAAACAGCACATTAAATTTTGATCTAATTATTAATCTAATTTGGCAAGGATGCCATGAATGTAGTAAGGAGGGAGATTTTTTATACCAGGAAAATTATTGATCTGATTTAGCTTACTGATTAGATTTCAAAGATTTTTATTTTTAGTCTTAAAAGTTCAAAATATCAAATGTTTCACAGACTTGGGAGTATGATGTAGGTTTTGGCAAAATTTCCTTTGAATTACCCGATAATCCCGCCTTTGAAGTCAACTGTGCACACATACAATGCATTTTATTGAAAATAACTGTTTCGTGCAAATCGTCAACTTTCTCACCTGTTTTTTTTTTCCTTCAGAGATATACTCATGAATCAATCTCTACTATGTTGTTTAAAAAAAAAATTCTTTCTTTCGTTGTATTTAACTTGATCTTGTACAAGAAAAAAACAACTTTAATACATTTTCAATTTAATGTGTGCCAAAACCCTTTTTTCATGACAAAGGAGGCCTGGCAGAATTCTTCAGTTCTCAGCAGAATAATAATCAAATATGCCATTTGTTAAAAAGCTACTAAAACAGTGTGCACCATGGTATTATTATTATTACATTAAATTTAACTTTAAATGTGAATATGTTTGATTTTTCAGTGGTGGTGTAAGGGGAGATAACTACAGTCAAATTACTACAACTCACACCCATCAGGCATACCAGGGTGATGGACCAGTACGACCTTATCAAGGTGCTTCTACAGCAACTAAAGAACTTGATGACTTAATGTCCTCATTATCAGAATTTAAGGTTAGTTAAATTATTTGTCTACTTGTAGCCTATGGATGGAGAAAAAAAAACAACTGGCTGTCCATTTAGCATAAATATCGAAGCCTGAGTAAATTCTTGGATTATCCTAACCAACTTCTGTTTCCGCCATTAAATCTTGCTTCCTATTTTTGATAAACCTCATAAAAATATTGAAATTTCCATTCATTGCAGATTACCCATCAGCCTCAGCCACAGAATGTTCAGTCTGAACCAGCATATGCCAAACCTCAGAAAAGCAGAAACCATTCATCTACTTCTCCCACTAGCCCCACATCTCGTAGTCCCCAAGGTCCTCTAAGTCCCCAAGGTCCACGCAGTCCTGTACAACAGAATAACCAGTTAGAGACTATGTTAGGTGATTTACAGTCGGATATGAACAGACAAGGTGCTAGTGTTAAAACTAAAGGTGTTTGTGCTGCATGTAATAAATCTGTTGTAGGACAGGTGAGTTGTTACTTTTATTATCTCTCATCTAAAATACTGTCATAGTTGATTCACTTAAGGGAGACGGTGGTGACTCAGACATTAGCTTGCTAACCAGGAGGTGCTGGGTTTGCTCCGAGTGTCGGTCGAGAAATTTTCTCTGGATTTTCCGCTGTGGTTTCTCCTTGTCAGTGTTGCGTTGCAAGACGGAAGACCTACAATGAACAATGTCTAATTGTTCAAATGTGATGAAAAACTGAGGGAGGTCCAGTGTTCACATTGGTGTGCACTTAAAAGTTGGAATTCAAAATAAGAGTAGGCCGTAGTGCTGCTGTCTGAGCAAAACTGTGCTCATAGGACATGGTATAGATAGAATATGCACCTCTTCATTAGCCAGAGTAGGTCCAAAACAGTAGGAAATTAACCCACATTTCATTTAATTCACACAATAACTACCAACATATTACAACTATGACTTTGAATGACAGTATTAAAGAAACTCCAATTTGAATGTTTGTTCATTGAGAAGACCTATTTCAAGTATTATTCCTATTTCTTGAGGACAAAATAAAAATAAAGTTTATTATTCTCAAAATGTTAAACAAAATATTGTTCACTAGTCTCATTTAGCTAACAATTAAATTGATTTTACCTAATTTAAAAGCCTAAATTTACTTGTGCAAAATAATACATGTTTTTTTCTGCACATGATCTTGAAGGCTATGCTGATTCAAGTCAATCAGTGTGACGATATAACTATGGCTGTCTTAAGTGAATACATAGTAGGCCTAGTATTTTATAACACTGAAAAATTGTTTTAAATAGGGATCTACTAACCCTGTTACTAAAACTTTTTGTTATTAATATTTTTGTTATTAATATTTTCATGTATTTGATTTTGTAGGTTATAACAGCTTTAGGTAAAATTTGGCATATTGAACATTTTACTTGCGCTCATTGTAATGAAGAACTTGGTACAATGAATTTCTATGAACGAGATGGATTAGCCTATTGTGAAACAGATTATCATAACCTCTTTGCTCCTAGATGTGGCTATTGTAATGGTCCCATTGTTGACGTAAGTTTCCATGTTTATGTCTGTATAAAATTACGTATATGCAGTTGTCTTCTGCAAAATGATATGAGATCAACTGTCAAGCAAGAAAATTGCCAATATGACAAGTCTGCCAAAAAATGTGTGAGTGGTGACTATGGCACAATAAATAGAGTTCCCTCCCTTGCTCTCATTTAAATTTTGTTGGCGTGGTGGACTTACTCATTTATCATATGGTAATTTGATGAAAAATTAGAATAATGCTTTGTGTTTATTTTATAGCGATTACTGATTGTACTAATTGCCTATTTATTTTAATTCATGACTTTGAAGTTTAATCTATTTTGTCGTGACATTGTACAACAATCAAGCCATTTGTAATTAATCCATAGTGCTCTTTGTTGGTCGCATTTTAATTGTAATTTAATTAACATAAACAGTCAATCACAATAATTATATGCCACAGATGTAGTCTTGTATTACCGTAATTTTTATAGGATTGAGCTACATGGATACTACCGGTAGTTGTCACATCAATGGTTGACTTTACTACTCAAATATTCTAAGTCATCATTCAGATATTTCATTCAATTTAAATGATCAATCTTAGCATTGGTTTTGGTGCTTTTTTCAGATTTCTTAAAATCAGAATTCTGTCAAGTAAATACATTTTCCTTAACTGTTGATTTATTTTTGAATCTTAATTGAAAGCATTGATTAATATAACAAAATATTTCGCACAGGACACTAAATTTTGATCAGATTCCATTGATTTCATTTGACATTGAATACCAAAAAATCAGCTCAAATAACCTTTAAAAATTATTCAATTGTAAATATGAGCACTAATGAAAATACTTGAATATAGTTTAATTTGTACAAATATTTACAGAAATGTGTAACAGCCTTAAACTCCACTTGGCATCCAGAACATTTCTTTTGTGCCCAGTGTGGTCAGCCTCTCGGTGATGAAGGATTCCATGAAAAAGACGGCAAAGCTTTTTGTCGGTAAGTTATCAAAGGTTACATAGAAAATATGTATAAAGTTATTTTTTCAAAGAGAAAGATAAAACAGATGGATGTGTTGATTTCACTGTCCAAAAGTTGATTAATAACAAGCGTTAGGGGTAAAAAGTCACTATCCTTTTAGGAATGTCTATTTCATACATAATGAAAGATATAAACATTGTGTAGCTAAATTAAATCATAGAAATATTTTTTCATCAAAACACCGAGTTAACTTTCAATTTTCTACAATCAGCCCCACCCATTCAAATTTAAAAACATGTTTATTATTTTCAGTGATGACTACTATTCCCTGTTTGCCCCAAAATGTGGTGGATGTGGGCGACCTATTATGGATAATTATATCTCAGCATTAAACAGACATTGGCATCCTGAATGCTTTGTTTGCTGGGTAAGAATATTTAAATTTCTCAGATAGAAAAGTATGTTCAATTTAAAACCGCATGCTGATTACATATCGGTTTCTATATTATTCGTTCGGAGCAAAACAGTTGGACGTTAAACCCCATTTCATTTCATTTCATTTCTATATTATTCGCAAAAGTATTCCATGGAACCTCACTGCATCAGTTCCCTTTTATAATACAAAAATTTGCAAGTAACTTATTCAATTCTTGTTTTATTATACAAAAATTTGCAAATGATGATTATACATAAATTTACAAATGATGATTATACAAATATTTGCGTGTAATTTTATCAAAGAAAATTGTATAATCAATTCTTGTCTCCCTTTTAGGATTGCCATGCTCCTTTTGGAGGAGGGAGTTTCTTCGATCACGAGGGTTTGCCATACTGCGAGACACATTATCATGCCAAGAAAGGTTCTCTGTGTGCTACCTGTCAAAAACCAATCACTGGAAGATGTATTACGGCCATGTTTAAAAAATTTCATCCCGAACATTTTGTCTGTGCTTTTTGTTTGAAACAACTCAACAAAGGAACCTTTAAAGATCAGAACGAGAAGCCCTATTGTCATCCTTGTTTTGTAAAACTTTTTGGTTAAGAATTTTGTAAACTTGGACTGAGGATTGATGTCCTATTGGTCGAGATTGTTTCACTTTGCTTTTATTTTATTTTTTTTAATCATTTATTAATTAAAACACTAAAAGTAAAATGAAGATCATAAGTGAGATAATTTAAGATTGCTTCTATACCAATTTGATATCAATATTCTTAATCTTGTGTTCATCTTCAAAATGCTGTCTGTTAATGCTATTTTATAGTTGTGGCATGTAATGCTTGTATATATAATCGACATGTGCCTCACTATAGATGATTATTCAGTGTGTTAGTTATTGTTCCCTGCCAGGCATCGGACTATTAAAATGGGTTCGTCCGTTTGTCTGTCTGTCATACTTTTTTTTAATATACATGTATCTATTCTGATATTTACATGTTGATATATCTAGATATTTACATGTATATTGATATATCTAGATATTTACATGTATCTATTTTGATATTTACATGTATCTATATTGATATTTATATGTATTTTGGATGTTTGCATTTAATAAAACTTGTACATAAAAAGTAACATCTTGCTAAATACCAGATAATCATTTATGTATGTATAAAATGTATTACCTTAAAATAACTTTACATCTTATCACAACTGTATAAAGACACATCATCTGGACACATAGTTTATACCATGTATTTAACCTAAGTTTGTACATACACAAATAAAAAATACCATATGCATACATCTATTTTGAATTTTTAAATCAGCAAAATTAATGTGTAGATGATTTAGGTATAAAATGTGTATAGGAGCTAAACTGCATTAATTAAGATAAATAAAGTGTAGAATTGAGTTGATCTGATGTATTGTTTGGATCAGTGGTGTGGTGTATGATTAAGAGACGGTCTTATGGGTGGAAAGTTATTATCTCAACACTGGTTTTATCAATGAACTTCGAAGTTTCAACCAATACAGATTGTAATCCCACAAAACAAATCAAAGTGGTCTAGTCATATTAATTATACCCTTCTGCTGTTATGATTCTTAGTCCTTTTGATGTTTTCCGTGCCTTTAAACTTAGGCACTTAGATGTTTGATTATCAGACACAAAAGAAATAATTTGAATAAGAAGATATTTGGACATTTTTGAAAATCAGTTTTTGAATATTGAATGACTAATGTGACATGAATGTAAGACAAGTAATTATGTAATTAACTCTACACATGATGTATGTTAACATTAATTTAATCATTGTATAGCCGCTTTGAGTATATTCACTTTCATTTCTAATGATAATAATTGTCTAGCACCTATATTCACTGTCATAGTATGATGCATTACGTTAATCAAATTATATATCTTATTATTGAAAGTGGTTGATTTTATCTCCGTCATAACAATAATTATGTTAAATGTAAAATAGTAAACTGATAACTTGATTTAAAGATGTGCTTCTTCTTCAACAAATGTATTAATAAGTGGAAACGATAAAATCTATGGTCAAGCAATCAGATCTAAATTAGCTTATATAAGCCACAGTAAATACAACAAGCATGGGCTAAAATGTAACAGTCAGTGGCCCATGGTACCTGTAATTGACAAATTTAAATAATTAAATATAAATGAATTTAAAAAATTAAATATAAACAAATTTAAAAAATAAGGAAACTATTTTATTATTTTGGTTGGTTAGTAAAGAAGAAGTACTGAAAGATAATTGATTATGAATACTGAGTCAAAAAATAAAAGCCATTGTGGACAGACAGAATTAGTGCACACTGTGTGTCGAAATAAACTAAACATTCTTGGATCCAATATTTTTGATAAAAAATTAAAATCTAACGAAAAATGGTAAATAGAGGTTAGATTTAAGTACAATATACATTGTTTAGAAAATAATAGAGATCATTGATTCTTCCCTATTACATTTCACAGTATTGTTATTAAATAATAGATTTATAGACCAATAGTTTAAGTGCTTGTGGGACTTAAACTGAACCCAGGATATTCATACAGTTAATGTCATAGAATCATCATGCATTTATTGTTAATGGAATGACAGATGCAAACGTATAAACTTTCCCGATGTCTATCAAGTAATGTATTTATATTAGATTACTGTATTATATATCTGTAATATATTGTGTAATAGTAAATGTATTGTGACATGTGCCTTTAATGGACCTGTGTTTGTTAGCTGCAGTTACATATGATTTGATTGTATTAAATTCAAACATTAATTTCTCAGTTTAATGAAATAGATATTTTATACAGATGCTTCTTCTGGGAGTATTTTACAGCCCATAAATAATTCAGAATAACAATTTTAATATTTCAAAATGATTATTGATCAATGTATAACATGAATCAGTCGTGTGGATTGACTTCATATTTTATAAAAGAACTGATCTGCAGTCCATGATTTCTAATTTTTTGAGGGGACAGGGAGACTAGAGAATTATGAGGTGTTTTTTTTATAACATTTAGAGAGAAAGTGTGATAGATAACATATATATATAAAGTAATAGTTTGATAACATAAGTCTTCCATTACACAGTTAAACTGTTTTGATATTTTTATATTATAATACCTACAATATATATCATATTACCTACTTAATAATTAATGAATGATATTCTAAATGTGTAATTTGCCACAAATTTACATCAAGAAAAAAGTAATTTACATATATATTTCTTACATGTATATACATAACAGTGGTCACATCTGTATAGTGTATTTGATATTCATTTAGAATTTTATTCCAATTTTCTCTATTGTACTAAAATTTTGAAAAAAATATTAAAATTCTAATAAAACTAGCACAGAGAATATCAAAAACACTAAACAAGTTTTGTATAAAGAAGAAAATTTTAATGCTTTAATAAAATTATTTTTATCATTAATATTATATTGGTTTTTTTTTTTCCTTGTTTTTTCTTTCAATTAATCAACTATCTGCTTCTTTAGTTTTAATAACAGTTTACACGCCGCACAAGTGCTAAGCATTTATAGTCTCTGTACATATGTTCTAATAATAATACATTACACACCTTACAGAAATTATAACCATGTTCTAGTAATAATTGAATATAGACATATCGCTTTTATTTTCTGTATTGAAATGTTACATGTTAATATACATTTGGTATTTAATTACATCTCACAAAAGTATACATGATCAATAGTATTTTGATTTTGTTTTGTACTAAGATCCTTAGTAAATGATTATGCTATTGACAAAAGGTATCTGTCTAAGATAACTGTCTACAATTCAACAAAATGCTCCTAAAGTTAGATTTGTGTTTACATTTATATACAAATGTAAAATGGTAAAGTAAAAAGCTCTTTAAATTGTGTAATAAAATAGTTACTGAGTAGAATTAGCACGATTGTTTGTCTGATTTATGTAATGTAAGAACATTTTGTGAAAAGATTATATTTCATATACATGTAGTAATCAGTCTTTCTGATCCACCACTACAGAACATACATACATGTGCGATTTTCTTGAAAGGTGTCAGGTCGTCAGATTTCATAGGTTAACAAAAGGTTATTCAGTAATATGAAACAACAGCAGTATACACATGTAACCTGGAAATTGTCAGTTCAAAAGATTTCTGAGTTTAACAAAAGTTTTGTTGGTTTTGTAACATGTGGGTTTAGCCCAGTATATTATTATCATTTATTTAACCTGCATTGTTTGTTAATATTGATAATCTAAATCTATTGTATTATATAATCAGCTTTAAATATGTACAGGCTTTTATATAATACCAAGCAGTGACCTTAATTATATTCATATATATTACTCTTATTAAAATTATTAATCATTGACAATCTATAAGAAATATGTGATTAAGGCTATGCCATTTGTCTCAGTCATCTAGGCTTTTGACTACTGCTACATTCTTTGTCTAAATCACTTGAATGAATTTCTTTCTATTATTATTATTTAATATTTGATTTGTGTATGTTCTTGTTAACTGTATTATTATTTTCTAGAATGTAGCTTTATTAAATTTATTTCAATGGTGTTTTTATTTTTAAGTGCTAGCTTAATGGTTAAATTTTGCATATGAAATAGTTAATTAAGATATTAGTTTATGCATATAGTTTAATTTTGATATGTTTATTAGTAGTAAACTTAATGTCTTTCTATTTTTATTATGTATGATATAGATGTTATTAAAACAATGATTTAAACAGTCTGTTTTTATTATAGTTTTCCCCATGCATTTCTAGTCATGCCACTGAAAGCCAGGAGAATAATACTCCATTAAATTATCATTAGTGTGATTTAAAGGTCAAAAGACAAACATTTAGTTATTAATATCTTGATGATGTACCAAGCTCAGACTCCCACCAGTGTTGCATCAATATACATACTATACAATGTTCTTGGAAAACCTTAAAAGTAACAATACTGTTATAAATTTTAGAACAGAGGTGGGGCTAGAGCTTTATTTTTATATTGCAGATTAAATGAACTAATTTTGTAGTATGTTATCATATTTCATCATACCTGTATTAGTGAAATTCATCATTAATTATCTACACATCACATGCGAATATAACATTCTGCGCAGTTAGCTTTAATATGCTTATTCTGTTTCATGAAATGTTTGATATTTATTTCCATCTAATAAATTTGACTAATTATTTTCCACTATTACCATTGGGAGTTTTATTTTTAAATTCTTTTTAGCACCGCTCTTTAATGTCTGCATCTGCCTCTTTGTTGAGTAGCAGTTCAATCTACACAGATTTCGTGTTTTATGTGTTTTCATATTTCTGCTTCAGAAAAATAAATTGTTTATTTCAAATGAGTCTTATGGGTCGAATCTGTTTCAGGGGTGTTGGGTGGTCTTGTGGTTTAACAGTGCGTTTTAGATAAGAAGGTCTGTCATTAGATCAAGTGGCATGGTCTGGATTCCCCACTTAAACGTGACAAGGCGTAGGGTTGTCTGTCCATCCTCATGGGATTTCTCCAGGTCCTCCAGATTCCTCCCACAGCTAAAGAACCCTATGTTAGTACCAAAATGACCTAGTTTATGTTGAGTGGACGTTTTTCTCTCTCTTGCGAAAAACTTTTTATACGCCAACCTGGAAATGTGGTTGTATATTGTCGTCGCCTCCGTCCGTCATCCACAATTTCTTCTGAACTCTACGGACCACATTTATTATCTGATCATTTTGAATTTTATGTTGTTTACATTTGTGAGATGAAGAAAGATACATTATGGAAGATTAGATAAAGAGCTGGCAGTTCTCACTATAATAGTTAAAAACTAGATAATGTAAAGGGAATATGCTGAAACTTTCAGTCAAATTGCTCCTCTCTGAACCAAGATAGCGATTGATTTTTCGGCCTAGCCCCGGTCAGCATTACTAAAAATGAGAAGATAAAAAATATAGTCTTGATTATCTATTTTTTGATTTAATCATCAATGAGCACTGAGCAGCAGATCAGATTCAAATCCAGTGAAAATCTGACACATAAAATGGCATCGGAATTGATTAAGGTGTTTTCATGTTAATAAATGTCTAATTAATAGTTTATATAACATTTCAGGCCTAAAGAAAGATCTGCAATAGGCAGATTAGCTCTTGCATAATGTATGTAGAATCCTATTTAATTTCAACAATTTCAGTGAATTACTTCTTGAGTTATTGTCCTTTGTTGAACCCCTTGTGAATGCTCTAATGATGTTTACATTGGACATAGTAACACAAATTTTATAAATTTATGGGGTAATCCTCATAGGCGTGGGAGTCGGGGGGGGGGGGGGCAAACAAAAAACAAAAATTATGATTTCATCTAGTTGGTAAAACAAAGTGCCTGAAACCTAATAAAACACTTATTGTTATTTACTTTTAATTCTGCAAAACTTAATATTACCCTCCGCCCCCCCCCCCTCTTCTGAAATTAGATAAAACATAATAATATACACTCTTCCTGTAAATGTGTCAGTCAAGATTGATGGCGCCATAACATTCGTGTTGATGAGTGGTGATAAAATGTTAATAATAAAGTATTGATAATGTTAACGATCTTTTATAATAACATTATTACACTGTTAGGATATAATCTATTGTTAATAATATAATAGTTATATTTGTAAGCCATATGGTAGTGTTTAATCGCGTAGATGTCTCCGGTTGAAGTGACATTAGGTTGTTAGCCGGACGTCAGAAAGATAAAGTCTAATCTGGTTAATATGAATGGACATAAAAGCACAATTTAATTTTTATCATTACCTACGTTTTGTTATTAGTTCCGATCGCCCTAGCTCAAATTGTGTCTAATTTAATAGACTGTAATTAATCTGAATACTGCAGATAGAAGATTATATTTTGACAATAATGTTTTAGTTGACTCAATTTTGGCTGTAGCGCAGAGTTTTAACAACGCAATTACCACATTAGAAAATCTTAACGCTTTGTGAACAGAGACTTTATTTAAGATTTTTATGCGCCCATATTGAAATGTGGTCCAGAGGCGTTCTGAGGGCTCCAAAGGAGGGTAGGCCGACGAAACTTAGGGCATTTTAGAGTCAGGGAGAAACGCTTGGTTGAGGGAATCTGGAACATTTCATTACCAAACGAAATAAATAATTACGAACAGTTTACTGTACCAGAGTGTTATTTCGATGAAGACTGTAACTAGGGGTAACATTATGACAATATGGAAAAATTGACTACTTACATCAAAACTGCCTAAATATTAATTGTTCATGAAGTTAAGTGAATCGTCCAAAGACGTTCGTTCTACGATCAGGACTGTTCTCTTTGAATATCTTGGCGACATGAAATAGGTCATTATGCACCGCACACGCCATCAAGCGTCATGGAGTTGCGCTACCAAGTTTTGATACGGCGCAGAGTGCTGAAGGATCGCTCGGCTGAGCAGGAACTAGCAGTGTTCAGCAGTGTGAGATGAGAAGAGTTTCGACTGAAGGGAACATCTGTCTCACTTCAGGTGACATAATGAGAACGCTTCGTGCACAAGTGAAATAGATTTGGCCGAAAACTGGCGCTTGCAGAATGGCATTTCTTGTTCCAAGCTCACCATCATGTGGATATAAACCTGAAAATCTGTCCTGGCGGACAAAATCATCGAGGGGACAGAGACCTATTCGTCCCCCCCCCCTTCCGATTCTAAATCCACGCCCATGATTATAATTAAGTCCTGGAGATCTGAACAAGAGCATAGATAGCCACAATCAAGAACTACACGACCTACGAGTAAAGAAGACAGGCATTAAATGGGCTGGTATTTCTTACAAAGGGTAGGATACCTGCCAAGTTTCATTCGATTCTGTTCGCTAACGAGGGGAGAGCAGCAGAGATTAAACTGACACAACCCCAAGCACGAGAAGATGATCAAGATTTAGACACAGTGGCATCGGTGTCAAAAGTATATTTAACGGAGCTAAATCTCTAACTCATTATTTTCCATAATATTCGAAATTAAAAACACGAATGAGAATTCAATATTATTCAATTCCAGTCAATATTGATGTTGTTATCTTGCCGTGAAAATATAGGATACTAATATCCAATATTTAAGACACAATTAACATTTCATAACCAGTCCACGAGTCGTGTATTCTATGGTTTCGGGTGCCATTTCGTAATGAAAAAATAAAAAACATATCCTACCCGACCATGTGGAAGTAGTTAATAAAGGCTGATTCACAAACGATGGAATAATTTTAAGAAAGATATAATAGACTAAGCAGTTCAGTTTGAACTGTTCACGTATCTCACCGAACATATTGATTAGAAATTACAATATTTTTTTTACAAAAATATAAACCACTTTACATGCATTCATATCATACCATTTTCGTCTATTTCAAGGTTCCAAAACTAGAGCCATACGCCATTAATCCTGGTCAATGAAGTTACTGGTGACAGAATTAATGTCAATAGGATTCATGGTAAAGGTTAGCGTATTGCCCTTGAGTATTCTAATAGCTAAAAACGTTCCTGTCGCACGCGTTGCAATTTCTGATTATTTTTCCCTTTTCCCTAAATTCATTAACGAATTGAATAAAACATAGGCAGATTAGCAGATTCTGAATCATGCTGTGAATTCTAATCTGGAAGTCCCCTGTGGAAATTAGGGCCGGATTAAGCTTGCATGGGACCCTTGGCTGAAAATGTCACCAGTGCCCTTGTATCAACAGTGAAAACGGGCATATTCTGGTCATTGTCCATCAGACACAGAAATGTAATTTATATGTCAGTATGGTTGATAGATTTATTTGGCACAACTTTAATAGATCAAAACATAAATTATTTTTTAGAACTAATTTGGGGGTTCCCTTTAACACTGGGGCCCCTGGCTGCAGCCCGGTGAGCACGCTGCATAATCCGGGCCTTGTGGAAATGGATTCGAGTCCCGAAATAAAATTTAAAAATCTCAAAATATTAACCCGTGTTGTTTTTTCCAGAAATTTGTGCCAATCCCAGACAGCTATTGGCACAGGGCAAGCTGTTCTAATGATAAATAAGTGTTACTACTCATCTGTTTTCAGACTGGGCCTCGATTCGCCAGACTTGGTCCAAGGGCCCAAAAGGGCCAAGAGCCCATCTGCCCCAATTGAAAAAGATCTTGACATATATTTATTTTTCAAAATACCTAAAATTCATCTTCGTATCCATTGAAAAATATAATGGCCTCAACCCAAAGAGAAACAATCTATGAGTGAAGTTCAGGAGTAAGAATCCAACTAGTTTCGTTTTCTCATCTTGTCACGTATTCTTCACCGCGATGCGGGCCCAAACATTACAAGTTGATCTGAGGTTCCATATAATTTTAATACGGGGCCAAATGCGGAATTGTGATTGTAAATGGTTGTAAACTGCGAACTTTTTAAAATAGAAACCGAAATCAGAGAAAATTGGATAACAACCGCAATCAGTCGATCACAGCAGCGTTAACTGGTTTCCTGTCGCACCGGTGATGTAAGCCAACAAGCAAGGAGGATTGATTGATGGTCAATGTACGAACATTGAACGCGATTGGTTTTAGTATCGCTCGATCTGTTTGGAACAAAGGGTGGGGGGTGCAGCAGGAAAAGACGGCACGATCTTGCTTGTCACTGGGGCAATGTGAATCTGGTGACATTAACGGGAGCATTTATATTAGTATTTGAGGAAACGCTTTGGAAATTCGAGGGCATTATAATGCGGGCATTTCCATGAGTATTTGAGGTACCTCTTTCGAAATTCAAGAGCACCTTTTCAGATATGAGAGCTCTTTTTCAGAAAAGAGTTCATTTTTTCGGAAGGGAAGGCACATAGTCACACACACACACACACCCACACACACACACACCTATACCCCTGGTAGGAAATCTCATCGAATTCGAGCCCAACACGCCTCTGATGAGGTCGTGTATCGTGTCTGTCGCTGCCAGGGAGACGCGGTGAGTAACCTGGGTGTCCCATGTTATTCTCTGCTACATGTCACCCTCGTTATGTGGGGGCTCTTATCACGTTCTGTAAGTTTGATACTTGTTTGATCGTAATATCTTGGTAACCACAAACCGGAAGTGGTTGAAATTTCATTCAAATCGGTGGTTAATATTACGACCTGTAGTCGTGTTACTATTATCGTTATGATATTGTACACGTTGCATCTAAATGGTGTCACAATTATTGCTTGCAGACTTAACACGTGGCTAACAGCCAAAGAATGAACTATCCAGCCATATTAATAATCTATTATAATTAGCCCAACATGCATTTATTTAAACGAGAGTAAACCATAACATAACTCATGGGAGCCCTTTTTTACGAACTTGTTTAGGAGGATCCAAATAAATCTTTCTCCTCAGATTACCGACATTTTATTTTTGGACATATTTAATTTTAATTATCTTTTTTTCAATTATACTTCGCTACTGGCCGTGCTTCTCTGATGGAAACTATTTAACAGACGAAACAGTAGCTGCCTTTTTTATTTAGTTTACAGATATTTTAAAGATAACATGTTTGCAAAACATCCATATCAGTAAGATAATTGCAATCTTGAATGATTTTACATATCTCAGTAACATGAAGATAATACATAGTTTTCATGGTAACCATGTGTAATGCACAGAGTAAAAGAAATACCTTCACCATATTGATTGCTTCTTTAATGCTTCCTGATGGACACATGTTGTTAATATTCTTTCCGAATATATTCTCCATTCAAGTCTGAAATGATACCGAACTTACTTGTCTCTATGGTAACCAGGTATTTTCATGAGTGGCGCTATATATTCGAGCTTAATCAGAAGATGCCATTATATATTTTTGCAAAGTTTCGCGCTTGCACCCTAATTAGACAACCTGCGTTATCCCCTGTATCTGACGATTTTTTTCCCTGTACACCGAAGCAATCATTTGTGTACAGGAGAGAAAGTCCTCAAATGAGACTGGTGCATGCGGAATAATAATATAGGTGCAATTAAAACATCAATTTCTAAAACAGCAAACCAGGCCAAAGGTAAATATATACTTATACAGCCAGCTGCACAGTCTAGGAATACAATATTTCGTCGAGAGAATATATTTAAAGAATTGACAGAATATCTGTCCATTTGGTCACGATTTCAGAAGGTTCCTTCGGGCATAGGCTGGTGAAGGAGGGTCGAAATTGGACCATCAAGTTCCCAAAGTGCAGGAAACTGTGTTTCCCACAGTCAAAGTGCAGGTAATTTTCTCTCGGACTATAAACCTCCCCCCACCCAAACCCACACCCACTATAAACCTTCGGAATTCGCGCTTCGTCAACAAAGCCTTAAAATGGCACCGCCTGTACGCGTATAGGCCACTTTTACTTTTATAAAAGTTCTTCTAAATAAGAAATGCTTTGATAGGGACTTAAACAAGATGTGTATAATAAAATATTATCTCATTAGTTCCTGGGTTAAAAAAATTACTGTTTTTAAATAAGAAAGACCTAGGTGGCTTTCTAAACAAGATATGAATGATAAAACATTCTGTTAATTTTGTCAATGTGTAAAAACCTCTGATAAGTGGGAAATACATTAAGGGAGTCTACTGTTTGAGTACCGTATTTATATACTATCATAAAAACATCAAGCGATACTTATAATAACTCACACTGCTTGCTGTCACTCACAGATGCTGAATAAATTATGTTCGGTAATTATTATATACAGAGCGACTCAGGCAATAATAACCACTTCCTATTCGCCGTTCATCAGTGGATAAAAAAACATTCCAATAATACTGTAATAGTGTGGCATATGATAGACCCAACAACGCATTGCTACTGTAGCGTATCAATAGTTCAATAGTTGGGTGGTAAAACTCTTAATTGACCTCGAGAAGATTTGTCAGAATAATAGTTGATTTCAAACTGGAATGAGTCGTTTTGAATAATACGGATATAACTAAAGGATCAATTCAAGGTAAAGACGTTTTAAAATACACTTGTAATTATTTGCCTTGATATTTAATAGTGTACATAGTTTTACGAAATTTGAATGGGTAAGGGGTGGGAGAGGGGGTGCAAATTTCATGTATGCCGAGCGGAGAGAGGTTGCCAATATTTCGTTATTTGTGTATTAGGTATAAAGTAAAATCATGCTCTGTCATATTATGTTACCTGTTTTACACAGCCAAGGTTTCGTGATTCCTACTACAACCATGGTTTCCGAGATAACTCATGTGTCTTAAGCGTTTTTTATTCATTACTATTATGTTACCATTTAAAAGGCAACAACATTTCTGTAACTGCTATCGGTAAATCTCTTTGTTTTAGTTCTTGGGCTCAACTTAAGTTATTACGTTGACTGTGGTTTGGAAGCATTAAATTGACAGATCACTTTATTTGGTATTTTTGGTTCTGGAACTATATCGTCTAGGCTATATCTTTCAAGAAATGTGTTGTGTCATTGTGGTTTCGACTGCAGCCGTGCACAATTCCGGTTATGCTTAACCTTTCTAGAACTTTTTCAGCACACTAAAAAGCCCAGGCCAAGAGCATAATTATTTATATTGAACTATAGTTACTTCATGTTGATGTATTGTGACTGCCTTTAAGACTACTTGCAGGGCTTTTATCAGCAACAAACGAAGGTTTTACATCTAAAACGTCAGAAGTCGTTTTCTGTAACACGGATGAATCGAACAAAATTAAGAATTAACGAAAAAAAAAAAATGAAAGGAATATTTATTGAACGACAAAAACAATGAAAATTGCTTTAAAATGATTTGGAATTTTGCTTTTATCATGCCGCACAAAAGGATTTTGAATATTTTATGTCGAACATGATGATTTCAGATTGAATATTTTATGACTGTTGCTAGGATACGAGAGTTTCTACTTTTTAATATTTTTTCCCCATCATTAACTGTCATTAGTAATTATTTGAAGAAACCATTTAACTATGATGTTTGATAAAAGTTTCCACTATTTTGTTTACAAATATTTCAACTTTACGACATTATCAATGAAAATCTCATCTTGTTAAGGGGTGCGTTGACAGGAATCATTCTGATTACGTTAGCATGTATAGATCCATCTCTAGACGATGTAGCTGTTTAAATGGAATAGGGTTGAACGTCTTACTTTTCTGCACCAACCGGGATAGTGAACTATGCCGACCTATAAATGATTCTTTAATATGCACAGATTTCGTACCACCTGAAGGACTAGACACTGTTCCTTGTCAGGCCACCTGTCCTGCACCACCGAGGAACTTTCTAGTCCAACACCGGAATCGTACACCGTGAATAAGCGCCTCAACCTGTAATGGCCGGTATGATTGTTTAAAGGTACATGTACACAAATAACCTACGTAATAGAATTACATACAGTGGTATATAGACTGTCGCATACAGCCTGTAATATATCCACAATTCCACACTCTATGTGTGTCCTATATAGCATTAGCAGGAACTATGTAGTATGTGTAACCTGTCAATGGATGCATTGTTTCCAATTCGTGTTTCCATAGATCAAGATAGCAATCTGCTTCCATATTGATCGTTCAATCCTCTTGTTTTTAATTATGTACCTGTAACATATTTTGGATTGTCAATTGTTTAGGAAAGTTGTATTACGATTTAATCAGGTTTACATGTATGTTGTATTATAAGTATGTCCATTTAAATTTCGCGTACTGTGAACAATACGGTGTCATGTGGCCAGTTTATCCAATGACCATTTGTCAATAGGGAAACTGAACTAATTAATATTCATTAAGTCTGAAGAGCTCGAGGGTGCTACGTCATCTTTTCCCGTTATTATAGTCAGTGGTTTATTGTAATGTGTATGCCAATCAACAATTTGTTTTCAAATCCATATATGTATACATGTACTACCATAGACTTATAATATCTGTATCTGTATGTTTGAACTCTGATGAAAACACAATACATTAAAGAGGCAGTAACACGTAATGTATTGTCATATTCTTACCACTGACACCATAAATAAATATTTCCAAATATCTTGACAGTTCCACCACAATATTTATATATATATATACCAAGTCTTAAATTAGGTTCGCAAATTTATAGTCACTAAATAAACGGTCATGTTGTACGAACATTCACCGTGTGATTGACAGGCCTGGATAATCTAGACTATTTTTTTACGAAACATAACAGAAAGCTGGAACAAGGAATTGAGTTTAGAAATTATTCGGAAAGGGCATTACAGATAGAAAATTAATGCTGATGGGCTAAATAATGGAATGGGGTTTATAAATAGAAAAGCTGATGGGTTAAATAATGAAATGGGGTTTACAGATAGAAATGCTGATGGGTTAAATAATGGAATGGGGTTTACAAATAGAAATACTGAGGGGTTGAATAATGGAATGGATTGAGTTGTTGGTTTGGGATACACAGACATCGACGAAGGGTAGTTGATTATTATTTTCGGTTTCCATTGTGAATTTAATACCTGGGTGTTGCATGTTGGGGTGTTGTAACAGCGTTTCTGGATTATCTTGCTGTTTGATCCCTCGTCTATGAAGGCATGTTGGGGTTATGGTGGATGTTTGAAGAGCTCTCTCTTCCAAATCAGTTAAAAATATTTCTGAAATTATTGGTGAGAGTGGGGCTTTCCATGGCAATCCATTGGTCTGTTCGTAAAAGGCGTCGCCCCAGGAGAAATAGGTTGAATTGATGCATGGTTTCAACAGGAGTATTATGTTGTCTGTTGATAGGGAGGTCTCCAGTGGGTTGTCTTAACTATCTATGCGCTTGCGTAGACTCTTCAGAGCCTCTTCCCTAGGTACATTTGTAAATAAATCTACATCATTTGAGACCATTCTCCTGAGGTTTTGAATATTCTGCAGTTTCTCGCAGAATTCACCCGAATCTTTGATGAAGGACGATGTTGTTGTGCCAAGTGAGGAAAGTATTTTGGATAAGTATTGGGCTGTGTTTTAGAAGACTGAATCTCGGGAATACACTAACGGACGGGCTTTCATGGGATTTTTGCTGATTTTTATGGTTACCCTGGCATAAGGTGGTCGAGGGTGATTTGGTCTAAGCTTGTAATAGAAAGCCTCAGAAATCTGTTTTTGTTCTTTCAGTTTTTTAAGCAAGTTTTCTATGGCTGTCCTTGTGCGCGTTTGTGGGATCTTTGGGGATTCTTCTATATGTTGCCGGATCTTGGAGTAAACTGTTAACAGTTGTGAGGTACTCATCAGTGTTCATGAAGATTCTTGCTTTTCCCTTGTCAGCATTAATCGAGTATTGTTGTGTGCATGTATATATTGTCTTGTTATATTTTCATATTTTATCATTGCTTGATAATGACTAGAGAAGCCTAGTCGAAAAGTCGCTCAGTAATAAGCAGTACAGTAATTATATTCCATAGAATTGTGACCTGTTTATACCTTATATTAGTATACTGAAATCTAACAACTTTAATTATAACAAGTTATATTTGTTGTTTACATTAAGGGTTCAGGAGATTAAAATCAATAAATATTGGTTCTGGTCATTCGATGAAACACTGACAATTTGGTGAATTAATAGTATTTTATGATACTTTAGCCCCTCGATATGGTATATAAATTGTACCGAAATCCTACTAGTAAATTATATATTCAGTATTTTTTTGAGAAGATTAAAGATGCTTTATCACGTACAAAGTGGGTGATTTGATGATATATACACTGTCAAAAGTATCCATTTTTTATGTGCCGAATTCCCTAGTTTTAACTCTTTTTCTTCTGTTACTCGATGTTTTTTGTTGTTTTTGTTGGGGGAGGGGGAGAAAAAGTGTTAAAAGTGTGAGTTATTATTTCAAATTACGTGTTTTACGTATTTTTATGGAATATTTAGTAATGAACAGGACATATCCGTGAAATTTAGGGATAACATGTTTTATTCCATTCTATAATGGACTTAATGCTGTTATTTTACGGGATAAACGGTGGAATGACTAGGAATTTACGGATTATTTGTGTTTGCAACAAGTACTCGTATGTAATCATTCCTAATAATTATCATGTTAGCTAAGGGGGCCTACAACAGGCGAAGAGATAAATGCCTCTTATTTATTGACATTTTTTTTCTCTTTCATGTTCTGGAAACAAAAATTACCAGTATCTATTTTCATTGCTTAAAAATTGAATTTATGTTAATTGAAGGAATTTCTGTAAATTACAGGAAAGGCAAGTACGCATAAAATTTTCCTGGTAATTTTTGTTTCCGGAACTTTATACGTTTTTTCACTGATTTTTTGTTACAGTGTATGGACTTCAAAAGTGTGTTTCCAATCTTTTCAAGATTTTTTAACCCATGCCGCAAGAATTTAGTTTAAGTATACTTGCTTGTCATATAACTTTATTGAGGGGTAACATTTTTAGATTGTCGTTCGTCACCTTCCATTTATCCATAACTACCGAAGCCTAAGTAAATTCTTGGGTTATCCTCTGCCAACTCGCAGAGCCTACATCTCGTTTAAGTCTATCAATATTCTATCAACCGTTAGCCATTAGATCAACGTCACTCGAGGATACAAGCTGCCCGTTAGGGACATCCTAACCTTTTTGTCCCGCGGTCGCTCTATGGATGTTTTTCAGGGAATCCAGTATTGTTCTAGTATTTTCATATAAATGCCATAATTTTATTGGAAATAACTATCCTATAAATACTTTCATGGGAATGTATCTTCAGGGAGATCAAAATTAATAGATACCGTATTTTTCTTTCGATAAACTAAGACATAAACGTTATTTTCGTATCACGCCAAAACATATTCGACATAAAAGTGACACAATGGCCGTCATTAAACGTGAACTCTATTTGATCAGAATGATGCCATTAGTCGAACTTATGCTAATGGTTATGAGGCTTGGTCAGTTTGTTCAAGTGACTGTATAGTCTGTATAGTTTCGTTAACATTTTGACATTTCACAAATGTTACGCTGTAAAGCCGTCA